GATCATGGCATTTGGTCCCATCGCTTCATGGCTAACAGAAGGGGGAAAAGTGAAAGCAGTAACAGATTTCCTTTTCTTGGGCTCCAAAATTAAATGCAGACGGTGACTGCAGCCATGAAATTAAAAACACTTGCTCCTTGGAAGGAAAGCTATGACCAACCTAGACAGCATATTAAAAGCTGAGACACCACTTTGCTGACAAAGGTCTATATAGTCAAAGCTATGATCTTTCCAGTAATCATGTATGGATGTGAGAGATGGACCATAAAGAAGACTGAGCATTGAAGAATTGATGCTGTCAAATTGTGGTGCTGGAAAAGTCCCTCAAGAGTCCCTTGGACAACAAAGAGATCAAACCAGTCAATCCTAAAGGAAATCAGCCTTGAATATTCATTGGAAGGACTGAAGCTGAAGCTGAAGTTGCAATACTTCGGCTACCTGATGCGAAGAGCTAACTCATTGGAAAAGACCCTGATGCTGGGAAAGGCTGAAAGCAAAAGGAGAAGGCAATGGCAGAAAATGAGATGGTTAGACAGTACCACCAACTCAATGGACATGAATGTGAGCAAATTCCAGGAGACAGTGGAGGACAGAGGAGCATGCTATTGGCATACCACAGTCCTCGGGGTTGCAAAGAGTCGGACATGACTTAGCGATTGAACAACAATGGCACAATTAACTGTGAGCTTTTTCTAACTGATCCTACCCCAACTAATGGCCCTATTAATATCTTATTTATTTGACTGCACCTTGCACCACATGGGATCTTAATTCCCCGGCCAAGGATTGAACCAGAGCCCATGGCAGTGAAAGCACAGATTCCTAACCACTGGATCACCAGGGATTCCTCTGCCTTAATAATTCTGCATATTTGGAAAGGACTAATAAGGCCAGGCAAAACAGTAATTTAATGACTCTAAAACCCCAGGCAAGAAGAAGGGGACAGATGACTTTACTATATATTTCATGATGTCAAAGCAGGTCTGGAGCAGAGGGAACACTTTGTATTGACTCCACATCATCACTCCACACTCAGTATTATAGGACATCTCAGATGTACTGAAAAATTTTCCAGTCCACTAAAGCAGACAGGATTCTTGTTCAAATAAGGTGACTCTAAGCTATGAGAATTTATTCTTTAAATATTTATTTAATTACTTATTTGACTGCACCAGGTGTTAGTTGGGGCATGTGGGATCTAGTTCCCTGACCAGGGACTGAATCCAGGCCCCCTGCATTAGGAGTGCAGAGTCTTAGCCCCTGAACCACCAGGGAAGGCCCTAAGCTATGAGAATTTAGAAGGATATAATAATTTCAAATATTTCCTTGAAAACAGAAGTTACATTAAACATAACTCTGGGATTAAAAATATTTATAACTTCTTGAATATGAATTTTCTTGGTATGTTTTTTGAATATATTTTCTTGGCATGTTTCATGCAAGACAAAATAAGTAATATACTTCTACTTTGTACATGCATCAATATGTCTCGTTTCACTAGTGTTTAAAGAGAAAATGTAGTATTTATTTTTTTATTTGCAATAATGTATGCTTCAGATGAACAGAGTGATTCACAATTCTTAAAGGTTATATTCCATTTATAGTATTTTATAAAATAGTGGTTATTTTCCCTGTGCTGAACAATATATCCTTGTAGTTTATTCATTTTATACATGGTAGTTTGTACATCTTAATCCCCTGCCCTGATCATGCCCTTCCCCCACTCCCCTCTCCTCACTAGTTTGTTTTCTAAATCTGTTTCTTGTTATATTAACCAACTTCATCTTTTTAGATTCCACATATAAGTGATATCATACAGTATTTGTCTTTCTCTGACTTACTTCACTTAGCATAGTGCCCTCCAAATCTATGTCCTTGCAAATGGCAAAATTTCATTTTTTTATAGTTGAGCAATATTACATTGTATAAATACATCTTCTTTATCTAGTCATCAATTGATGGACACTGATGTTGCTCCCATATTTTTGTTATTGTAAATAGTGCTGCTGTGAAAATTGGGGTGCATGTATCTTTTTGAACGTAGTATTTACTCAGATGCTCATTTTGATATAACCACTAACAGCAACAGGACTAACCATTTCCTCATTTTATGTTTTAAAAATAGTTTTCAGTTCTATGCATCAAATACTGTCTATCATATATAAGGTGCTGTGGGAAATTACTTGCATAGACTGAACTTATTCTGGTTGTGTGCATTCTATGCCTGTTGAGTAATTAAGCACAGAGCTGAACTTACCTCAGTGGTTTTTGATAAGGCAGTTGCTACAGGAATCTGGGTGTGTCATGTGCATACCCAACCAAAATGCAAAACGTTAAAAAAGATGTCTAGGGAGATATTGAAAGATTGGCTAAAGGTGGTAGTTTGGGAAGTCGGTTTAAGTAGGTGGACTTAAAAAGTCTGCAATTAACCATTTGCAGTTAGTGGCTTGTTTTTGTTTCCTCAAACAGCTTTTGAGTATCTATTCTCAGGATCAAAAACTCAAATATCTATAGGAACCAAGAAGATAATGTAAATAAACAAAGCAGGTAAATTTGAAAAAAATGGAGACAGACACATTTTATGTGCCTTGTAAACATGGAGGCAACTCTTCATTTCTAAGAAATGAATGAGCTCTCTCCCACAATTCTTGAAAGACGCTTTAGCCTTGTTCTCTCTTTTGGTGCTGAGAGAGAGATAACTGCAAGAAAAATATCAGTGCATACTCAGTATAAAGGACACCTCACACGGAGCCTCAAAGAGGAAGCAACAGGGAGTGGCAAGGCTGCAGTAAAGTGAAGCGCGGGTGTCTGGTCAAAGGGGCCCATCTCTGCACTGGGTGTCTGCTGCCACGTGGAAACAGGTTTGGGGGCGGGCCGCTGGGGGCATAGATCATTCTTCTAGAGAAGTCAAAGACCCTGATCTGTATGTAAATCCAGATTTTAAAATGTGACCTGACATTTTAAAAAACAAATTTGAGAAAAGAGCCAAACAAAATTAATTTGGTGGGCTGGGTGAGGCCTGTAGGTCACCAGTTTGAGATCTCAGACTTATTCATCAGGTATTCTGCTGTGAGGTGCTGGGAATACAAAGATCTAAAAAACAGAAAAGCAAAAAACTCTGCTCTCATGGAGCTTATAGACAAGTACATCATACATGAGTTCACACACACACACGCACACACACACGTGTGTATTTCCCTGTATCCAGGGGAAATTACCAAGTGTTTTGGGAACCCAGGGGAAATCAGATCAGAGGAAGGTGAATGGGTAGGGAAGAGGGCCAGGGAAGAATTCCAGGTCGGTTGGTCTAGGTGAGTTATATTGCTAGCTGAGCCAAGCTAGTAGAAATGGTGGAGGAAGGTGGTGGGCCAGGTTGAGGTGTTAGCACACGCTAAGGTGTGGGGGCCACAGCAGTCAGAGCCTTTTGTTAAAGAAGCTAAGATACAAGTGTGAGATTCAGGAGACTGAGTGGTGAAAAGAGGTCCTCCCTGTCATGCAACTGCAAGAAGACCAAAGACCCCAGATTGAACTCAAAAGAACATCAAATCCAGTTGTCCGGTTGGCAGTTCTTGGACAAGTCCTCCTGACTGCTGCAGCATGCAAATTCACTCAGCATCTGCTAGGAATTAGCTGTCATTTCAAAGAAACCAGGATGTAAGATTTTGAACTAGAATAGAAAACTCAGCCCTCAACGTTTGGTAATATTCTTCTCCTGATTTCCTGCTATTTGGCTATTATGTCTGTGGGAAGGATGGACCTGTAGTGAAAATCTGAATGCAAGCTGAATCGTTGATTGGAAGAACTGGCCTAAGTTGTCCCTGTATCCAGTGTCAGGGTCAAAACACAAATCTAAATTAAATAAATCTCCCTAGTCCTGAAAGGGAAAGAGACCTCTCTCCCCCAACCCTGTTTCTTTCCCTATTTACATTAGAAATTTTGTGGTTGTAAATTCCTTCTCTGGCCCTTTAAGAATTACACAAACCTTTTTAAAAGCTAAATAAGCCTCTTGCCAACTTTACAACATAGGAATGCCTTTCTCAATGACCTGGGAGCTATCTCTTTGAAATGGAATCATCAAGGAAGATAACATCCCTATTTCCTCTCTACGGAAAGACAATTCTCCCTGGGAGAGTAGGAGTCTAACTTCAGAAAGTCCCTATTTCCAAGTTTCCAACTTACCTCCTGTCGTAAATATGTAAGAAGTCTTTTCTTTGGGTAAACCAATTGGCTGATACAGAAAGCAGCTACCAATTACCAAGGTGAATTTAGGATGAACTACATGTGACAAATGGTACTGTCAAGCCCTCCTAGGTACTGTATATCTTGAGAACAGATAGTATTAATAATAGGGTATATCTGCTTTGCTGTGTAAAGTGAAATTCCATCTTTGCAGTCTCTCAGTGGATTGCCTGTGATGCACATCATATTTTGGCTTAATGCTTATTCAGTAGTAAAACGGCTTTCTTTCTCTTCTGCTTCTGTGGAGAGTTTTTGGGGGTTGGCAGGAGATTTTGTTTTTAATTATATTTCCTCAACACCTGCCACCAAGGTTGGTTGCGTTTGGGTCTTTCCAGCTCAGGGTATGGGTAAGCATCTAAATGCCCTGATATAAATGTGAAAAGTCTGTTCATGACAAAGCAGAACAGATTTCAGAGAAACAGATTTTCACACTCCTCTCTGAGAGTGCCACAATTAGAAGATACTGTGTACTCTCTGCAGTATTTACAGACAGCGGTACAGCACAATGGCAGGCTAGCACAGGCTCTCCTTAGACAGTCGGGGTTTGACTCTTCCTTCCATCTTTGCTTCAGGCACTTAGCCTCCAGGTGGCTTAGTTTCTCATCTGAAAATGAGAGACAAAATGGGGAAACAGGCTTCATAGAACAGTGCTTTCCAGAGTATAAAGGTTCCATAGTTTAATTAGAATTATTTCACAACATTATTTGAAGGTTTGTTATAGGCAGAAACACTTCTGGGATACAAAGTGAAGTGTCAGTCGTTCAGTCGTGTCCCACTCTATGTGTCTTGAACTGTAGCCCACCAGGCTCCTCTGTCCATGTCTCCAGGCAAGAATGCTGGAGTAGGTTGCCATTCCCTTCTCCAGGGGATCTTCCTAACCCAGGGATCCAACCCAGGTCTCCTTCATTGCAGGCAAATTCTATACCATCTGTGGCCCTAGGGAAGTGATGGGGAAAACACGGTTATTTATCTCCAGAGGAATTTACAGTCTTATAATAATTATATAGTTCCATTAATTTGAATGTAAATTAACTTCTCAAGAAAGAGAAAAATAGAAAAAACATTTTTAAAGGGAAGGTGACACAGCCAGGGGCTATTACCCTGATTCAGCTCCTTGTAATTATACGGTCTCTGTGGTTAAGCTAGTTTAAATCTAAAAAGACTTCTTCCTGAGCTAGTTTAACAGGAAAAACGAGAATTTTTATAAAAAGAAGCGAATGTATCACCGACTCTGAAGCCAAAAGCGCTACCACATCTCTTAGTCCACACGCCCTGAAGCGCTCCCTGATTTTTTTCCCATCCAGACGACCTAACTACAAGGATTTTTTTAACGTTATGAAAGTAAATAAATATTGGCTACTGGCACAGAACACTCTTAAAGCCAGCCCTTAAGACTCCTGTTTTCTGCTAAGCTCAAGGGTGTTCAACTGGCTTTGTACCTGGCTCTTTAAGAGAGGACTCAGAGGCCATCTTGGAAACAAAAGGACTTTGGACGCCGAGCGGGGAGGAGGTGGTTCCCAAGCAACAAGAGTTGCGCGCCACGCAGCCGCACTTCGCGGCGCCCAGCCGCCTACCGCGTGGGCGGGGCATGCAGGGCGGTGGAAAATTACCGCGCTTCCTCTTAAAGGCGCCCGGACATTTCCTGCCTGGAACCCTGTCTCTCATCTCGGTTGTAAGCTACAATGTGAAGTGGTGGTCTCCATTTTATCTTCCTAGATGTATTAAAATTCAGTTCCCAATTTCCAGGCCAGTACTAGTGTATACTTAGGCGAGTAAAGTCGGAATGAAGAGGCATTTTCTTAATCAAGTTAAGAAAAATAAAAATCTTATATATCGAACTCTGTTGCAGAAAGGGCTACTAACACAGGAACGAGACAGAGAAACAACTTCGTGAATAGTCACATTGACTGTCAACCGGTTTAAAAATGATTAGGATCTGAAGCAAGGAAAACTCGTTTTTTTTTACAAACGGATTGACAAATTATAACTATTAAAAACTACCAAAAACCAGAATAAACGTGTAAGAAGCAACAGGATAGGTTTAGCGGGCATCAGGAAATTTATCCTCTTTTTGTAGATCGGCTTTTACAGTATAAAAGATAATCTGTGAGATTTTTTTTTTTCTGCCTCTTAGTCGTCAAAGAACTTTCTCCATGTTAGAAGCTCTTCTGATTTACAGGTTAAGCAATAGTTTATCGCTGGCTTACTTTTACGAAAGAATAAAGAACAATTCTGGTTTTTATAACGTGAACATTTGAGATGTAGTCTGTGGCTCAGAAACGATTCCCCTTACCAAGCAATATTTTCTAGAAGCCATCCTGAAAACAACTGGGTGAAATAGAGATGTTGGTCTTCCCGGAAGTAAAGCTCTTGACACATTAACTCTCTTCATTTCAGACGGTTTGCTCGGTGGTCTTTGGGTTGTGAGAGTACCCACCTTCTACTCTCGTCCTCACGCTCTGACCGCGGACAGTAGTGGGGGAGTCGGGATGGATTCTCACGAGGCTGTAGGTGATGTCCCAGACTACCACGGCCCTGGCAAATTGATTTTCCACTCCCAACAGAGCCATTTCCCTCCTGCCTCGCGGCCCTGTTAAGCCATGTCATCACTCCTGTCCCCTTTTTAACACGTCTTTTTTTAAATCCCTCACTTTCCAGTCGCCACTTCCTAGTAATTTTTGATGAACCTTTCTTGTTTTTCAGAACGCAGAGCTGTGATGTTGGAGTTCTAAGCAGATGTTCTGCGTGCATTTAGATACACAGGACGGTGTTTAGCCTGTAATTTCCAAGTTTGGATGTTAAAGGGATATACTTGTGACATTATCTTTACATAACCACAGGGAAAACTAATTAGTTACGTGTAACCAAAAGCTGTGTCGTGTAGAGCTGTCATCCGTGTTGAAGCTGCAGGGGTATATGATTTGATATAAAGGGAATTGTGCCTTTGAAACAAAAATAGGTGCAGCTGCGTTTGGTGCTTTAATTTTTTTTCCACTGCGAGACTATTTACCAATGCCAAGAAACTGAAATTGGGAAATGCTCCATTTCAGATTAGATGATGCTTCTAATTTTTAAAATAGGCTTTTCGTGGAAAGCCTAGTCTGTAACAATACTTGGTGGTTGCTGAGCTGGTTAGTGTAGGTGTCAACGCTGGGTACTGTGGCTACCTCCCTAACTCTGCAGGGAAGTGGTATTTTACAGACCAAAAAGCTCTGCGGGGTTTCTAATGGCCGAGAGACTTCCCTACCGCCCTACTGAGTCCGGGATAATCCTCCTGTTATTTAAAATTTACTGCGGGATAGAGACAAGAACAAAAAAAAAAAAGAGCGAACGAGAGAGTCTTAAAATGTAAAGTCATCTGGATTTTCCCTCTCAGGTCCAATTCTAAAGTGACTAAGAAAATAAAAAAATAAAGTGACTAAGAGGCTAAATTCATATACATTAGAATCTAACTCTAATGGTTAAAATATAATAAAAAGAGGTTTGGAAGAAGACAAAGTGTTTAAATATGCATTAAGTTTTAGTAAGCAGAGTTGGTAGATTTTGGTTGCTTATATTTAATAAAGATGATAAGGCTGCATAGTTTATAACATTTTCTAAGAAGAATTACTGAGTTAGAATGTGGGAAGACAGGGTTTGGGAATTTGGTCTTTGAGACTGCCAGATAAAATACAGGAGAACATTCAGTCACGTTTAAATTTCTGATAAACAATAAATACTTCTTTTAAAAAGTACATTTGGAATACATTTACACTAAAATCGTTTGTTGTTTCCGGGAAATTCAAATTTAATTGAGTAACTTGTATTATTAGTTGTTAAATCTAGCAATTCTGCTTTAAGGGCCTTAAAGAGGGCACATGTAATTAGATTTCTCCACCTGCATTACTCCAATGCAAAAGGTTCGGGCTCAAGGGGCCAGGCTGAGATATGAATGTAACACAACAGCATACAAGTATATTGCCCTGAACAAGTTGTAGATGGCCACCACATGCTGCCCTTCAAAATACCATGTGCATTGACTGTTGCCTTGTTCATTCACCCAACTAACGGTATTGATTGAGTGCCTGTCTTATGCCAGGCATAAATTCTGGGAAGAGTAAGATAAACAAGGTAAAAACTCTGTCTTTGAAAAGTCCTATATTTTTGGCAGGTGGACTAACATGTAAAATAACTGCAGTAAATACCAGGGATTACAAGTTTGATCAGAGACTCATGGGAACATTAAGTTTATGGACTAAGACAGGAGAAAAAGAGGAAGGCTTCAACGAGGAAGTGATTTAAATGAAGGCAACTAAACTGGAGAAGTAGGAAAGGACATTCATGAAGGGAACTACATATGCAAAGGCAAGGAGTGTGAAGACATTGTCCATTGAAAAAAGAAAAACGAAGCACCAACCAGAACAGGATAAACTAACAACTAAAAAAAACTGAAAAGTTAGGTGTAGCAAGAGCTATAGGGATTTCCTGGTGTCTCAGTGGTAAAGAATCCACCTGCAATACAGGAGGTGCAGGTTGGATTCCTAGGTCAGGAAGATCCGCTGGAGGAGGAGATGGCAACCCACTCCAGTATTCTTGCCTGGGAAATCCCATGGACAGAGGCCCCTGGCCGGTTACAGTCCATGAGGTCCCCAAAGAGTTGAACACAACTGAGCGGCTAAACAATAAAGGAGCTACAAGAGGGTTTGCTGGGAATGTCCAGTAATAAAGGGTGGGCCAGATTATAAAGGTGAAGCTAGACAGAGCTCAGATTCTCTTGTGGACAACCAGAATAGGATCGGGGCAGTGGTGGGAGAGACTGTGATAGGAGATGTTTTTAATTCATTCTTTCCAAAAAAACTGTGTGTGTGTATCATCTTGTGCTGGATTCTTAGAACATAAAAATGAACACAATATCAATTCTACTTTCTAGATAGATGCTCTGGGTTTTGAGGGAAACCAGTTATGTGGACAGTTACATTCAATACAATGGGATTTAAAGTTACATTTAAAAAAAAATACTCATGCCCCCCAAAAATAAATAAAGTTACATTCAAAACACAAGGCAACTCAGAAAGTAGGAAGGAGGTAGAAATTTCCTGGGGAGGGTGGGAGAGGGTCAGCCAAGTCTTCCTAAAATGAAGCGATGCAGGAGTTAGGGTATATATATTTTTTAATTTAAAGAAATTTAATACTTTTTGCAAATAGTTAAGATATCTTCCCAAAAGAGCAAAAAGTATATAATGAAATCTTTCCTCATCTAGATCCTTGACTGATCATCAGGGGTCACCACCACCATCCCATTAATGTAAACATAATATAAATGTATCACTCCTTCCTCTTCAGCCAAATAGAGGCATTTTCTACTAGGCTTTTTATAACTTAATTTTTTTCATTTAACAATATGTTTTGGAAATCAGTACTTATGGAACTGCTCGTTTATTCTTAATAGCCCTATTTCATTGTAGGGATAAAGACAAAATTTTATACTAGCGTTCCACTGGACATGTAAGATTTTAGTCTTTTGCTATCTTTGTATATATTTCTTTTTTGCCCATGTGTGAGATTATTCATAAGATAATTCCTAGAAGTAGAATTCCTGGATCTGTAAGTTGGTGCATTTAAATTCTGATATTTTTTGCAAAAATTTCCCTCCAAAGAAGTTATACCAATTTATACTCTCATCATCTGGGTAGTAAGGTTTGAGTTTTGATGAATGAGGAGGCATTTACGAGGCAGATAAGAGAGCAAAGAGCATGTTTAAAGGGAAGGTGGGACAAGGAAGAGCCAGCAGCTCAGGGATCTAGGCTGGAGGGGTGGAGACCCATGAAGAGGCAACTAACCAAAGGAGAATGAGGAACTGAGCACAAGTAAAAAGCAGATTAAGGAAGTAGAAGTGTTAACACCACCACCCATCCATTGAGAGATTAATTGTGCCAGGCAATATGCTAAGCAGGGCTTCCCAGATGGCACAATGGTAAAGAATCTACCTGCCAATGTAGGAGACACAAGAGATGCAGGTTGATCCCTGGATTGGGAAGATCCCCTGGAGTAAAAATGACAACTACTCCAGTATTGTTGCGTGAAAAATTTCATGGACAGAGGAGCCTGAGGCTACAGTCCGTGGGGTCTCAAAAGAGTCAGACATGACTGAGTGACTGAATGCGTGGGAGTGCACGCACACACACACAATGTGCTAAGCACTGCATACTGTCCACTATACCATCCTCACAACAAAGAGAAAGATACCCCCACTATCTGGGGGGAGATACTGAGGCTCAGAGATGTTAACCTGCCAGAAACCAACTCTGATTTCCTCTGACTCTCAAGCCTCAGTTTCTAATTGCTGCTCCAAGGGACCTTGAAAGGCTGAGAGCAGCGCATTAGGGGTATTTGTTACGGGGAAGAAGAGGCAACTAGCAAGACAGAAAGGTAGTGATGCTGAGACCTCGAGGGCCCTGATCCTGTGGGAACGTGCCCACACCTTGACGACAGCAGCCAAGACAGGCTAGGACAGGAGACAACCGAGAGATTCCCTCTTTGATTTCCGGTAGTGCTGAGTTAAGGGGTAAATTTGCAAGAACTTTTCTTGTGCTGAGAATGGAATCTTGATGTTTTCAAAGTCTCTGGAAATAAAAAATGATGTTTCTTCTCCCCCAGCTTCTTCATTTATATCAGTAGATTTTTAAACCTCAGCTCTTAGGAGACAGGTTTCTAAGTGTTATAGCTTCCAAAAACTGTTCAATGTCCCTTAAATTAAGAACTAAAATGAAACATACTCATCCATTTACTGACTTAGGTATCAGCTATGAAATCTAAATGATAAACACCCCCTAATCTAAATGATAAATCTAGAGCTGTTTTGAAAGGATGACAGTGAATGAATCTCTGATAATATATAGATTTTAATCTAATGCACAATGCTGATGTAGCTATTAATAAAAAATATTTTCATGCTTACTGCTGTCTATCTGTACAATTAGACTGTTTAGTAACTGGCCTCAAATGCTGTATTTCCAGAGACAAGCCTCTGCACTGGGGTATTGTCACTAAAGGCAAATCTATTACAGAATAATGATTACTATATACAGTAGCTCTTGAACCCTCAAGCCCTTTTGAATATTCTTAAATGATGTTCTCCATTTTAATGGACTGTATCTTATTCCAAGCCTAGTAATTAGAAGGACTTCATTTAAAGATGGCACAGTTGTGAAGAATCCAAAGAGGAGACACAGAAGATGCAGGCCTGGGTCTGGGAAAATCCCCTGGAGTGGGAAATGGCAACCCTCTCTAGTATTCTTGCTATCTTTCCATGGGGAAATCCCATGGACAGAGGAGCCTGGTGGGCTACAGTCTGTGGGGTCGCCAAGAGTTGGACACGACTGAGAGGCTAGCACATAGGGTTGTTTTAAAGTATAGGTGGCAGAGACTTGTGCTTCCAGTGCAGGAGACCCAGGTTTGGTCCCTGATCGGTGAACTAAGATCCCACATGCTGTGGCCAAAACAAAACAAACAATTCTAGGTGGTGCTCAGAACTAACATTACCCCAGGAAAGAGGGGTCACATTTTTCTGAGGTGATTTTAAGATGTCCACGGAATGGCTGCTGATATTGCTCCATCATTCACGTGTTGTTTTTTTTTTCATCTTTACTTCTTTATGTTTGCTAAATCATTTTCAGAGAGCAGACAGAAGATTCTGGCAAACAGTTTAATTTTGGAAGACTAGGTAATGAAATGGTTCCCCGGTAAGGAGTCTCCAAGTACCATTACAGTAA